ATTTCAACAGTACATGTTCCATATGGAGCTTCTGAATTTTCTAGACATATCTCTGAAGTATAAAAGGGTTTACTTCAGAGTCATTTCAACAGTACGGTTCTTGTATTAAACCTATGAACCCGTCAAAGTTAAATGTAAGACTTGGAAGCTAACTCTGACCTGCTTGATTACAGACTTATACAATAACTTTCGTACGTGGTTTGATAGAAGTACAATGTGCATTAATGTTTAAACCATGTAATACAGCTCCAAAATACTACTAAACAGACTTCAGATTTGGATTTAAATTGTAATTCTTGAGTGTCATTGTATAGAGTTCACTAAAACCAGTTCTAAAATGTTACTTTGAGCATGTCTCAGTTTGAACTACAATACAAATGTTACTAATCGATGTCTGTATGTCCATTAATATATAACTGTGATATTTACATTGTAAATGTTTTCTCAAATTTATTTCATATTGTTATTACAGAACTGTATAAAACTCACCTTTCATGAATTGCTTATCATTCATCAGGCTTGGCAGATTGTTGAAATGTTTCAAACCCACGGCTTTAAATTTTGCAGAGTTATATCGTGTAGTAATTTGTCAGCCTTAGAATAAAACGCCAATACCTTTTCTCCAACTTAAAACTCTGTTATGACATTGGTTTTCATAGTTTGCAGGATTTGTAAATATGTTAATGTAGAAATTTGAAATATGCAACATGGTTTTCCAAGAACCTATTATTTCTGGTCTTCTATAATAACATGGTAAAGACATAGGTTATTTTAAGTGATAATGTTATAAATTAATTTAAATATATCATTTATATTATGTTTAGGTTTTCCTCTTAAGTAAAGAATGCTATCTGAACATGTATATAATACAATCACTAATTGCAAATCGAAACAAGATTCACCAAAACACTGTTTGTACGCAAAAGGCTATGAAGAATTGAATGATGAGAGGTTTTGGAGGATGCATCTGAGAATGGTATTTGAAGGAACAGAGTATAACTCTTTTAAATTTTTATGCGTAAACACAAAGTGATATGTAAAATCTGTTCCAAAATAAGATGAATATATTTAAAGTCATATTAATAAATTATATAGCTCTTTTCTTCGCTTTCTAAAACCCTGTCAAATCAAAGCTACTCAAAAGTACACTAAAAAGGAAAGTTGCACACAGTTAAAGATATGAATGACATATAAACATTAAACATTGTATCTACTCATAGTAACTCCTCCGGTAATACCTTGATAGCTATCTGATTTTTACAAAAGGGTTTGAAAGGAATGATGCCTGGTCCAATGCAATCACCCTTATTTTCAAAATCATAACAATGGAGGTTCCGGCAATGTCAGAGAAGTTTTCTGACCAAGAAGAGTCACCATGCCCAAGACATATAAGGATATCAATGACCGATCCCTATGCAACTGATTCTTTAAGAGATGAAGATGACGACCATTTTGGACGGTGGCATGTGAAGAAGTATGTTAATGAAATTAACATACAAACATCGTGCAAAACTACAATGATGCTTGTCAATGGGAAGATGACGACGACAAGAAACAGCCCATTTGCTCTAGAATCGAAACAAAAAGCTCTGAAGAAGAAGAGAAGTCCAGCGGGTAACGTTAGGAAGTTCCGAGGAGTCCGGAAAAGACGTTGGGGTAGGTGGGCAGCAAAGATTATGGATCCGGCTACACACCAACGGTTGTGGTTGGGGACATATGATAGTGCTGTTACAAATTTCGTTATGCCAACGGTTTTGGAAAACCCACCACTTGAGAATGTTACATCAATTTCCGACCATCATCCCAACCTAAAGTCGTTCAAGCTTCCACTTACGGATGCACCACCTTTGGATTACCAATCATTTGACTCAATACAACTTGGTGATGAAGTTGCATTTTTTAATATGCATCATGATTTCGGGTCTATAGACCCAAACCAATTTGATGATTTTGGTACAATACCTATTGTTCATAACTTCGTTCCTGATATTGGACGTGGATCTCCCTCAACTTTACAAATAGATAACTACTTCGAAGATATTTCATATAGTACTTTAGACTCATGGTTTTCCTAAAATGGGTGGAACTTATTTTAGTTAGTTGTTGGAGCTGTTTAATTGAGTACTATTGTATTATTTTGTTAGTATCGTATTAATGCATAGTTTTGATTAACATTTATTGGTTTGACTGATTATTTTTATTTTGTTTTTCAATCAGTTGTAAATGATGTTTTTTTACAAAATATATATGGGTCACGAAAAGGTTTGACCCGTATATTACACGGAGTATTTTAATGGAGGAAAATAAGTCTAGACTTTTCCTCAGGTCTAAAAGTAAACTTTAAACATTAACTCTGAAACACAAGACATGAGAGTTTTGGTGTTACCCTGGAAAATAACTATTGATTTAACTCTGAATGAACGGAATTCATAACAACCTTCTAATTCTAAGAAGTATGAAGAAGCATAATTCTGGAGCACAAGAATTTTGCTTTCTTAAAACTCAGAAAAGTAATTCCGCAGAGGGGTTGAAGGTTGCATTCAAAATCAAATGCCTTTCATGTTGTTGATTTGTATCACTAATGGGAGTTAAGTGTAATGGGATTTATTCGTTGATCCATGTAAGCATCATAAATATTGAAGAGAACTCTGAATTTAAATTGGGGAAAAAGAGTGCAGATTTGTTCTCAAATTTTTATGGCGGGCTACCTTCTAAGTCTGCCATACAATTATGAATGTTAACAAGGGAACATAAGTCCAGACTTTCATGTTCATGCTGGAAAAGTCTGGAAAGAATGACTCCAGATTTAGTGATACATAGACATATCAGAGTTGTTTTCTTCGTCTAGAACATCAATTAAGCCACGAAAAAAGAGAAAATAAACATGTAGAGGGACACATGTCACTTAAATAGACCTATTTGAAACGTAAGTGAAGCTTTGTGTGTGGGGTGACTCTCTGCATGAAACACTTAAACTTTTTTATGCCTTGTTCATTAACTCTGACTCGACAATCTGATACATAACTCTGGAAAACTAACGTGGAAAAAACACTGACAATCAGTTTCTTAACTTACGTTGTATTTACACCTTTAATTTACGCTTTCCATAACCGCCTCATTTGGGTAATAATTTGCTTCTTATCAAATTATTGTTATGACAATAACTAATTATGATGATCATATGATCCATGTAACTGTCATAAATGTTGAAGAGAATTCTGAATTTTCATTGGGGAGAAGGAGTTCAGATTTGTTCTTAGATTTTTAAGGCGGGCTACCTTGTAAGTCTGACAGACAATTATGAATGTTGACAAAGGAACATACGTCCAGAATTTTATGTCCAGACTTGTAAGTCTAGACAGAATGAATCCAGACTTAGTGAGACAGAGAACATATCAGAGTTGTTTTCTTCATTTGGAACATCAATTAAGCCACGAGAAAAGGAAAATAAACGTGTAGAGGAACAAATGTCACTTAAATAGACACATTTGAACCGTAAGTGAAGCTCTGTGTGTGGGGTGACTCTTTGCATACAACACTTAAACTTTTTTATGCCCTGCTCTTTAGCTTTGACTCGACAATCTGGTACATAACTCTGAAAAACTAACGTGGAAAAAAACCGACAAGCAGTTTCTTAACTTACGTTGTATTTACACCTTTAATTTACGGTTTTCATAACCGCCTCATCTGGGTAATCATTTGCTTCTTATAAAATTTTTGTTATCACAGACAACTTCCATTTCCTACTACAGTAAAAAAAGAGTTCTTTAACACAACTGACTAACTGAGTCCATTTTCTCACGATTGTTCATTCTAATGTTTTATTATGTACTGACTTCATGCACTGGTTTCTTGTTGACGGATTAGTTTTATTGCAGATCTTTCAAAAAAGAAATTCCATGGATGGTAGAGAAAGGAGAAAATTTAGAAAGACGGTTTTGAATAGTAGTAAACAGTCATTGAAGTCTACATCATCAAATGTGGATGGTATCTGATTCAATAGCATTTTAAATTCGATTTTGAATGAGACAAATATTATCTGTTCAGAAATTCTGTTGAAGGCACTTTTCATAATTATACTTTCCTCTATCTTTTTACAGATAATATCCCAAATTATGATAGGCAATTAAGATCTTCATCTCAGAGGAATAATATTCCCTACCATAGTGAGAATATGGATCCAAACACATGTCCACAATATCAACATACAAACATTGAACATTCTTCTTCAAATGYGACTATCACAAATCCATTATCTGATAGTTCTAATGGTATGTGTAATCTCTTGTACACCTCATTTTTAAAGTAATGATTCAAATACATTTTCAATGCTAACACATGTTTTACATTACTTAAATTTGTATATTTTAAACAACAAGTCTTCATGTAAACAAAAACTACTGGTTATGTTCTAGCGCCAATTCATCCATGCCTTTATCAACAATAGAGCAAGCTTCTTCTATGGTATGGTTATCAGCAGGGCATCATAGATTACTAAGGAGGAATGTAAATGTATTTAATATACCAATAATTGATATCACATCAGATGAAGAACTGGACCATCCAGTAACAACTACAAACATAATTGCAGGAATATCTGAAGGTAATTATTGATTAATCAAATGTTTAATACTTAAAGTTAGTTATTAGATTCAAATTTATTAAACATAGTACTTGGATCACAGTGATGAAAGTGTTATTTCTGAATGCTGTGATGCAAAACTATGGAGAGATGAAGCTCTTCGAGGGAAAAAATGCGGGATGAAAACAAGTTACTCCCTTTATTGTCTTTATGGCAAAGTTCAGCTTCCAAAAGAGAAAGATATGGCTACTTCTTACATAAATCTGTTTCATTGTGAGGACTCGAAAAACAAATACTTTATGAAGAACATTCGTCGTTATAATTCAATGTTCTCATTCACATCAATGGGTGGCAGAATTGATTCTTCCATTAATAGTGGAAATGCACCATACATATACAGGCTTAATGGTCAAAACTACCATAGGATGGGTAGTCTTCTACCACCAGATGGAACAAAACCGAAATTCTCTCAACTGTACRTATATGATACSGAAAATRAAGTTTCAAATAGACACRGTTCATTTAGGTATACATTCATCCTTATTGTAATAWTTCTTAATAAATTTACTTGAATTACATAGTATGGTTATATTAATGGTCACTCTGATTTTATGTTTGTTATGATTTACTTAGTGAACAACAAGAAGCCTCTGCATCAAATTCTGATTCCCTTGATATTGAGATTATTCAATACTTAAAGAACATACAAGATGCAAAAAATGTGTTGGTGAAGTCTTATAGAATTGCAAGAGATTGTTTTGAATGCTACCCGGATGTCAAGCTAAAGTTACAACTGATTGGAAGAAGAGAAAAGGATAGAAGAACATATAACCTTCCAACTGCTTCAGAGGTTGCAGCTTTAATTGTTGGAGATGATGGTGGTACAATTGAGAAAAAAGATATCATTGTACAACATCATACAGGTTATTTACAACAAATAAGTGAATTACATCCTTCTTACGTTCCTCTTCAATTTCCGTTGTTATTTCCATACAGAGAAGATGGTTACAGAGTTGACATTCCCCATAGAGAGGTAACATCTCCAAGCAAAAGTAAAAGAACAACTGTAACAATAAGGGAGTTCTTTGCCTTCAAACTTCAAGAAAGGAGAAATATGATTTCGTTACATCTCAATGCAAGGAGACTTCTATAGCAATTTATTGTTGATGGATACACAATGATTGAAGGTGAGAGATTGCATTACATACGTAAGCAATAGAAAGTCCTAAGGTGCGAGACATATGATAATCTATGCAATGTACAAGAACAAGGAGAGTGGGATGTTTTAGACATTGGACAACGTGTTATACTACCTTCTTCTTTCACCGGTGGTGTTCGGTACATGATGCAAAATCATTTGGATGCAATGTCCCTGTAAATGGTATGGATATCATGACTTATTCCTAACCATGACTTGCAATCCTAAATGGCCAAAAATTAGAAGATTTGTTAAGGACACAGACCTAAATCCAGAAGACAGGCCTGACATTCTTTGTCGTTTATTTAAGATTAAGCTTGATGCACTTATTAAAGAATTGAAAGAGAATGAGTTTTTTTGGCAAAATTCAAGCAGGTATGTTCAATTTATGATAACAATATCAACATATTTCTTCATACTTTAGTCTTATCTTTATTAATTTAAATTGTAACTTTTTTGTAGTTGTTTATACAATTGAATTTCAAAAGCGTGGATTGCCTCACAGTCATATCTAATGGTTTATGCACCGAGATTTCAAGCTACCTTCTGTTGAACAGATTTATCCTATCATCTCTGCTGAGATCTCAGACAAAAACAGTGATCCAGACTTGTACTTACTTGTAAAAGAGTTCATGATGCATGGACCATGTGGTGAAGAAAACATTAATTGTCCATGCATGATTGATAGAAATTTTCAAAAAAATATCCGAAGAAATTTTCTAAACACACTTCAATTGATGTTAATTGTTATCCTGTACACCGCAGACTAGTTGATGGACGTTTTATTGAAAAATCAGGTGTTAACTAGATAACAGAAGTGTCGTCCCATATAACAAACATCTATTGAAAATATATCAAGCACACATTAATGTTGAGTGGTGTAATCAGGCATCTTCAATCAAGTATCTGTTCAAATATATCAACAAGGATCCAAATAGAGCTACTGTTGCAATTGTAGAAAACAATAATGATGAGGTCACTGTTAATGCTGTTGATGAGATAAAACAATATTATGATTGTAGATACCTTTCTGCATGTGAAGCTTCATGGCGTATTTTTGGATATGATGTTCATTACAGGACTCCTTCTGTTTTAAGACTTCCTTTCCATCTTCCGGGACAACAACAAGTGGTGTTTGGTGTTGAAGATAATATTGAAAATGTCCTAAACAGACCATTGATGGCGTCCTCAATGTTTTTAGCTAGAATGCGTTATAATCAAATTTATCAAGAAGCACGAGAACTCACTTACGTTGAATTCCCTACAAATTTTGTGTGGAAATTGGACGAACGACG